AAATATTTTGCATGAGAAAGAAAAACTTTTTCCATGGGAATTCACCGGTATGCGAGCTAGAAAGTGCATCTCCAGTTCACCGAGAATTATACAAGCGATTCCGTCTGAAAAACGCACCACAGAGAATGTGATTGACAGCGGTCGAGAGCCGATAATGAAGACACTGGGAATTTCGTGGAACAGTACTGAAAACGTATTTACCGTTGCCGCTTCTCCAGTTTCCCCGGAACTTCAGACAACAAAGCGAAACGCCCTGCGTAAAGTAGCAACGATTTGGGATCCACTAGGATTCCTATGCCCGTACGCTATTGTGACGAAAATTATACTTAGAAAGCTATGAATGCAAGGCTATGACTGGAACTGCGCAGTTCACGATGAAATAGAAAAAAAATGGGGCTTGGCTCGAGCAGTTGAAAAGTCTGCATGAGCTGAAGACTACTTGGTATCAGCGAGGTCCAGAGCATGCCAAGTCGAAGCACATTGTGACTTTTGTCGATACATGCCTCTCAACAAGCTTATGGTGCAGCAGTCTATATTCGCTGCAGATACAATAACGATAATACAATACGCTGCAGATAAAATAACGATAACGCGAGTCACACTTGAGGGGAGGGGTGCGAAAAAGTAATGCTATTGTTCAAGCTGTCTCTGTCTCAAACATATTTTAAAATATGAAATTGAAATTTCTAAATACTTCCTCAAAAATGGGTGAGTTGACAAGTTTTTCGGGAACATTAACTAACCTTTTATATTTACGACTGCAGTTCGCTTGGTGAGCCTCACCAAGTCGCCGTATCTCGGTCGTGTTGAGGTACTGTTCAATGGTATATGGGGAACCGTTTGTGACGACTTTTGGGACTTACAGGACGCTGATGTAGTTTGTCATGAGCTTGGATACGATGGAGCTTTATCAGCAACTGGTAATGCAGCATTGGGGCGAGGAACTGGTCCAATATGGCTGGATAACGTGCAATGTGTGGGAAATGAGGCATCGATATTGCAGTGCAATCACAGGGGCTGGAGAGTTCATGACTGTAGGCATGATAAGGACGCTGGTGTGGTGTGCCGACCTAAAGGTAGAGTAACCATACGTGTACTCTTTGTTATCATCTTTACCAAGAATGAAAATAGAGGTAATCAGAATATAAGGGCGCCATAGCGTATTCGACAGTATTACAATTAACTTTTCTATTATGGAGGATGGGAAGCCCATACCTGTCGGGGAATAATGAAGACATTGGAGTAGTGTTTGGACCTGTAGGTAAGGTGACGATACCCCTACAGTTGACATAACTTAGAATAAACAAGGTTTACTTCTTTCTCTCGTCTTTTACATATTTCAAACCGCATGATGCTAACAATACGAATGCAAGTAAACCAAAGTTTTATTGCACCTTATCTCAAATGCCTTA